GAGGAGCCTCTGGAAAGCTGCAGGACCACCCATTTTGCAGGATGTCCTGGCTCCACAATTCCAGAAGGGGGACATTGCCGTACGCAGGTCAGGCTCTGACCCTGGTAAGGACGACCTCCTTTCCCAAGAAGGCCAAGGCCCACTCTACCCGGAGAAGCTGATGTCTGACTTTTGCTCTATCCATCAACGGTTCTGATCACCAAGCCCTGAGCCTTCTGAGCCTTGGGAGCTGGAACTTCAGTCCAGCCCTGCAAGATCTCCAGCCAAGCCCTTGCCCCTGAATTCTGAGTGTAATCTTTTGCTTAGCAAACGTGGCTGACCAAAGACGTGCAATGCCTTCTTCCTTTTTATGGGCCCAGCAATTCTGAGGAACATAACTTAAAAGTGAGGATTGGAGAGTATGGCCACCAGAAGATTAATCTGGGGAGAGTCAGAGACACGATGCCCCTCCCCTTCTCAGGGGTCCTTGTGTGCTATATTGGAGGTCGACCTTCCTTCCTCTGATGGGGTGGGGGCTGGGCCATGTGGGTGCTGCACTGGCCTGAACGTCTGGCCTGAGGTCAGTTTCTTTTGCGTTCTCCCAGCCTCAGTGCGAGAGTAGGGAAGATCTAAGCAGTCAAGACTAGGGGAACACAAAGGACTGCAGCAACATTTGGAAAAACACAGTTATTTTTGGAAGTAAACCTTTAGTTTCTATAGTTCAGCCTCCAAAAACCACATCCCCTTTGGATGTCTGGCCAATTTCAAGGAAACTTTATCTGAAGGAGCGAATAAAGGGTGTTGGACTTCATAAAGAGGCTGTGTTGAGTAGCGGGCAGGCATGTGGACTTTGGAGGCAGACTTCAGGTTACTGAATCATAGGTCTACCACACGTGAACTGTGCGACCCCACGCAGGATATCAAGTCTCAGTTTTATCATTTCAAAAATGAGAGTGACAGCAGATAGCTAACTGACATTAGATACTTAGATATGACCGGCACTCTGCTGAGAGCTACCACGTGGTAACTAACAGAATCCTTGCAACAGCCCTCCAGAGGTAGATACTTCTACTAGCTTCCCCCTACCTTGTAGAGATGTTTCGAGCCTGAAAAGAGAGTCTAAATGAAACACTAAGCGTGGTGCCTGGCCTAGAGTAGTCTCTCAACTGGTATTTGTTTCATTGGATTGCAGGGATTTGATGATGACTGTCCAGATGGAAAATTAGCATCCTCACTTCTCCGTATTCCCTTTAGCCTCCCTGTTGGGGGTAAACTAACAGAGTCCTCCAGGGGTGGCCTACCTTTGGCTGCTGGGTCCTAGGGTCCTGGATGTATTCCCAGTCCTTGCCATTTAGGCTGTAGGAGACTTTGAACTTGCGTACAAATGCCCTGGCTTCCACTGCAGTGATGCTGTCTCCTCCACGGGCTCCCTGGATGATGACACCTTTTACAGTCTTGGGTGCTCCCAGGTCCACCTGGAGCCACTCCTCACCTGGCTGGGCCTGAGGGATCCGAGGGAACCAGCCCGAGCGGCTGCTGACCAAGCGGGCTGTACTAGGGCTCCAGAGGTACTCGCGGGTGGAGGAGGCAGAGATCTGGGAATCTGCGATGAGGCCTGAGAGCATCCCCAGCATGTTGGAGCAGGGAGCATCTGCAGAGAGGAGAGGGAGACATAGGCGGTCATGGCTGACACCCTACTAACAAGGTACTATTCCTCACCCCTTGAGGAGGAAGTTGCAAAAGATCCCAACTACCCAGCTCTTTACGTCAGCACTGATTTCATTGCATGTTGAGTTCGTATCATTGTGGCTAGGAGCCTGGCCTTTGAGCCAGACTTCCTGAGTCATATTCACCCTGTCACTTATTGGCTGCATGATCTTGGGTAAGTTATTCAATTGCTCTGTGCCTCAGTTTCCCCAGATGTAAAGGGAAGCTAGTAGAAGTAGCTACCTCTGAAGGGCTGTTGTAATGGTTCTGTTAGTTACTACATGGTAGCTCTCAGAATAGTGCCTGTCATATCTACGTATCTAATGTTGGCTGGCTATCTGCACTTATTGTAACTCTTACCAAGGACTCTCAGGAGACATATCTGCTTATTCTTGTTGATCACACCAGTCCCCACTGTCCCAGAGACAATGACTGCAAGGGAGCTCAGCTAAGCATTGAATTATTTCCTGCGTCATCTTGCTAACTAGATAGAAATCATCCTGGTTTCAGGATTAGGTCTTTACTTTATGTGTTATCATAACTCTTAGCCCTGGGTCCTTCCCACATACTGTTCCTGCTACTCAAAATGCTCTTCTCCTCAGTCATTGCCAGACTTACTCACTCCCAAGCTTAAATGTCACGTCTCCAGAAAGGCTGTCCCCAAACTTTCAATCTATAGTAAACTAGGTAACTCCCCTCAACCGTTCTTCCTCAGAGCACATGGCTCTTTTCTTTATACATGTATCTTAGTTTATAATTATCCAGTATTTGCATTTGTGTACTATCTGTCTTGCTAACTAGCCTGAAAGTTCCACAATGTTAGAGACTCAGTGTGTTTTGTTTACTCCCCTATCTCCAGTTCTCAGTGTGGGGCCTCATACACAGTATTTATGAAGTGAATTAGTGAATGGAGAATGTGTGAATAAATGATATTGGATAAGTCAGAATCTATAGTAAGTGTGCATCAAATACTTACAAACTGACTTATAGATAAAAAGATTCTTTAGGATATCCCCCCTCTTTAAATGCGCTAATTCTCTCCTTTCTATCTTCCATAAAATGAGTCTTAATTAAATCCTGTTGTTCACCTTTGCTGGCCTGGAACAGCAACATGGAAGGGACAGAATACAGTTTAGGAGAAACCATTCCCATATGAAGAAAGGTAGGTCTTTTCATAAAGGTGAAAAATGCAGACAATTTGTATTGAGAAAATATGGGTTTAGTTCTTGGCTCTGTGACCTCCTAGTGGGTGACTTTGGGTAAGCTGGTTAGCCTCTTTGAGTCTTGATTTCCTTTCAGTCCCAACCCCAACCTCTTTACCCTATGAGAGCAGGTAGGTGGATGGGTAGGCTCTTTGACCACTCTAGGTCAGAGAAGCAATTTACCTATTGTGGGCTAATTCTGCAAGATGAAGGGGACTAGACTGTCCGTAAATGTCAGCTGCCACCATCTCCCATTCATACCACTGCACCAGCCTCCTACACGGGTCCCAACTTCCACTTTGGTTCTCTCCAGTCTATACCTCTTGGGGTTCAGCTCATATGCTGTGCACTCTCCTTCCTTTCTCTTTTGGTTCTTATTGCTGCAATGCCATTGAGTGACCACTGCCTCGCATGCTTTCTCTCCTCTCTTCACCAGGTAATACCTGCTGTTTCCAACCTCTGCTTCCATCACTTCCTCAAGGAAGTCCATCTTGGGACCAGCAGTTAGCATAATGGCTATGTTGCTGGACTCCCATGTAGCCAACTGCGGTTTGAGTCTCAGACCCAGTGGCTTAAACTTAAGCTGGGTACATGTGCGTGTGTGCCCAAGATCCTGAGAAGAGAGGAGAATGGAGGAGAAGGGATTGCAATGTGGCCATCCCCCCAGGGGGTGATTTCTTGTTTTCTGTCTCTCTGTCTTTCTCTGTCTTTCTGGCAAGCGCATACGCCCTATAGCAAAAACCTCTCAAAAATAAATAAATAAATAAATAAATAAATAAATAAAAGGAAGTCTCCTTTGATCTCTTAGACTGGGTCAACTCTCTTGTGACGCACTTCTAAGGACCATGAGCCTCTGTTTCCAGATATTTATCATAGTTTCAATTTTACATTCATTCACTCATTTCAATTCATTTGTTTGTTTATTAGCATGTCTGTCCAACTTGTCCATATATCCACACAGAACTGGGTCTGTTTTGCTAACCATTATGTTCACAGTGCCATGCATAACTCTTGGTCCCCAGTTAAGGCAGCAGAGAGTATAATTTGAGAACAGGTGCTCTGGATTCAAACCCTGACTCTACCACTTATAGACTAGGTCGCCCAGTTCTTTAAGTCTTGTTGTCCTCATCTGTGAAGTGAGGAGAATAATACCTATCTCATAGAGTACTGTCCCAAGGTCTCCCTGTTATGCTGGATATGTGTGTGCATGCCTGTGATTTGTGCTGGCTGAGGCTGAGGGTGATTCATGGTGTGAAGACCCCATTAGGGGCTGCATATTTGTCTCTCTCTATCTCACAGAAGACATAAAAATAAATTTGAAAAATAAATAAATACTGAATGAATGAATTAATAATAAAAGGAAGACTCCTATTGGACTTGAGTCCTTGAGCTAGTCTTGGAAAGAACACATAGTGCCATCTTGCTGCTTGCAGAGGCTGGAAGAAGGGTCAGATCCTGGCACTTAGCTCCCCAACCTCATGGGGGCACTCCCTCACCTGTGACCCGGCAGCCAAAGAGCTCCAGCCGGAGGGCGATGCCTGAGTGCCAGGTCTGAGGACGGATCCTGACGAACCTTGTCAGCAGAGGGGTGTGGAGCTTGTTTAGAACCACCTCAGTTGCATCGTTGTTGGCTTGAAATACCTGTAATGTAAGACACAAAACCACATCACGGAATATCCCCATTTGTCATTTAGCTACTTGAGCAGTTGCCGAAGAGGATGGAAAAGTTCTGTTGCACTTTATTTCTTTCAAGCTTAAAAATAATCAGTGGGTTTGTTGTTTTGGTTTTTTTATAGAAGCACCATAAAAATAAAAACTTTAATTTCCCACACTGCTCCAATTTGAAAACAATAAATGGTCATCATGAAAACTTTTGGAGTGAAGAAAAATTTTGCCTCTAGGCTAAAAACAAGCAGAGAAAAGAGCCTTGAAAGGAAAGCATTTCCGAAGCTAAGAGAGAGAGAGAAAGAGAAAGAATATCCTTTCCAAATGCAGTGGGAATGTCATCTTTTAGGGTAGCAGACCTCATTCATTAGCTTGAACTTGACACTCCCTCTCCCTCATGTTGCAGGCACCAGGCACCTAGGAATATTTGTAGGGCATGTCACAATTAAAAAGTGCTTCACAATTGTTTTTGTTAGTGACTTAGATGTTTTCCTGCTCCTGTGTGGGTGAGAGGGTGAGGGGGTACCACTGACTCCCAAAGCCCCTATGTCAATCAACATTTTCTTGGTTCTCTCTGGTCTTTGTTGTGGGGTCAGGGTTGCAGACAGTCCCTTAGAGTCCTGTCCCAGCTTTTTTTCACTGTCGTCCCTTTCCTGCAATGAAATCCATCCCTGTACCCATCTGACCAATACATGTCTTATGGGAGGAATGGCTTTTCAGAGTAGCTTCTGATCCTTCATGGTAGGGGTAAGTCCTAGCTCACCAGATGGCCCAAATCAATAACTGCCATATGGACCTTACACTTCTTTGTGCTGGCCATTAAAAAGAAAAAAAAAAACAAGAGGAAGTAATGGGAGCGAGTCTATCTGAGTTTCTTAGTTTCCCTGGATAAGGATGGAGGGGAAAAACAACCAACAAACAAAGCATCATTTCCAAATCATACCAGTCATAGCTATTCATATATTCTGTCTAAGGGAACTAGATGTTTCAGTTCATGACTCCCAGGACATCTAGTGTTTAGAGTGCCAATAGGTTAAAACCAGAGGTGGGGAAACTGGTATATTTGAATACCTTTGAGCCACATACTGTGTAAACACAATTATGTCTACAATACCCGGGGAGATATCATCTCTACTATATTTATAAGGAACCGAGACTCAAGAATGCTCGAAGATCTAAAGGATTCAAGGTCCCTTTCAAAGTGTTTTGGCTTTAAGCTTGTAGTTTTCTCAATTGACATTTATTTATTTTAATAAGCTTGCAGTGTCTATGTTCATGGCCAGGATCTTAAAGTCTTCAGGCATGAAATGAATGGAAGAAGAATTACTGTCTAGTGATATGCACCCAGTGCATATCCCGGTGTGAATTTATAATCCCATCTTAGAATGACTCTGGGTAACAGCAAAGGACAGCACGGAAGTTTAGAGCCAATCAACATTGTTGTTTTTTCCTTTCCATGAACTGAGAATTCCACCATTTGGCAACCTTAAACTCCCCAGACTTCCCACTTGCTAAGGTCCAAAGTTAGAGCCACTTAATAACATACCACTAGTGGTGGAGAAAAGGTAAGAGACATCATAGCTTTTGCAACCAAGGAAAGGAAAGTGGCTTGCTCAAGACAAACAGAGAAGGAAACAGGTTTCCAATGGTCCACCATATTTGGTTGTTTTTGGTGCTAAGGCCATTCGATGGAGGGTAGCCCTACCCAGCTCACACAACTTAACT